TTTTCTAAATTTTTCGCTTTCGGTTCCAAACCAAGCAGATGATTTTTTAACAGCCCCCCCCCCCCCCCGCCCCCCTACATTTCCGTTGCGATACCAGTCTTAAAATCGGTAGACTCGGTTCAATTGGGGACCAAAATTTCAATATTTGTTACATTTTCAGCTGGCGCGATTCGCTGGACTTGCGTGTCAAATGAAAACTGCTGTTCACCCTTTCGCCTGTGATGGCGCTGCGCCAGACACGAAAACCTCCGAAGAAGACACAAAATGTAAACAAAAATGGAGTTGCTTCAAATTTTAACAGTCGTATGAGTTTTCTTTTGGTTTACCTCTAACATTAGACTCTTGCGTTTGTATTTACCCAGAATGCTCTGTGCTGTGGTTGGCTTCCTGCTTTTGGAGCGGTCTCTGGTCAACTTGGCATTCACTATCAAACCAAAACGGATGTTTTTAGGTGGAAACAGCGTTTGATTGCACATTCACATCTTCCCAAACGAACCGAGTATCCTCTGTAACCGAACTAGGGTACGATTAAAACGTACTAAACAGGGCTGGTGTGAATTCACCCTCAAATTCCTTTCATAATGGTTTTAAAGGAGCGGTATTGTGCATTTTCCGGGCACATGTTGTCATTTTGTAGCACAGAAATGTAACTATGTTAACTTCACTTGTTATAAAAATTATATATATATATATATATATATATATATATAAAATCAAATATGACTTAAAATAAATTTTACTTAGTAATTTAATGCTTTGAAATTGGGCCTATGTCTCTTTAAATACTCTTTTCTGAAACTCTCCCTTCAGGAAGTCATCACAAAACTGCTCCTTTATTAACCCCTTAAACAACGTTTTTACTCCTGAGAAATAGCTTGTATACTGAGCTCAGCAGATGCAAAGTTCCACCAGGTGTTTGCTAATTGCTTCTGGCTAGTCTGAAGGAGCTGAGTAGGAGATTCATGGGTGGGAAATGCTCTCTGAGCTTGGAAACTGCCAATCTGAGGAGGAGCTGTGTCTCAAAGGCGGAGCTAGGTCCACTTAAACGTTTTGCACAATTGATTGGTTGCTATGGAGATTAAAGGATTTCTCAAAAAACTCAAGAAAGAATCAAATCAACATTCCATGGATAGTATAATAGCATGATGTAGAGCACAAAAAAGTTGATTTTACACAGTACTGCCCCTTTAAAGCAGACAAAACAGGTCTGGTGTAAATTCCATTTGTCATGGTCTTAAAAAGTCTTAAATTTAAGTTGGTGAAACCTGCAGAAACCCTGTGATACCTCCTGTCACACCTCTTTCAGCTCCATCTCTCCTGTCGCACGACTCGCTGCCCTCATCTTCCTGCTCCTGGCCGCCCTGCTCTCACAGCCCTCCACCTGTAACGGCGAAGAGGACGAGAAGCCGGCGAACTCCCCGTCTTCACAGCTGTCCGTCAACTCCCAGGTGACGCCCACCCCGCTGTGGGCGGTGGTGTGGGGGCCCACGCAGCCTCTGGAGGAGGATGCCACCTACCACTTGCTGTCCAGCCAGGAAACCGACCACCTGCACCTGCAGGAGGTCAGCAGCGCCACGCCGGGGGATTGGGTCTACCTCGATTCAACCGTGCAGCCCCAGGAGAAAGCACACTTGGGGTCCAGGAACAAGGAGGGAGAGGAGGATGGAGGGACGGAGGCAGAGGAGGCGAAACCCGAGGAAGGTGGGCATCAGGAGATCCGCATGAAGGGTTTCTAAATAAAGGTGGCCCTGAGTGTGTGAGCACACACACACGCACACACACACACACACACACACACACACTCTCACTGGGAGTCCTCCAGGGAATTAGCTGTCACAGGGGTGAAGGCTGACACCCTCCTGTGTGCAGCCGGCTGTGTCTGCGCTGGGGAATGCCTAATAAAGTTCTCATCACTCACAGGGAGAATTTGGCCCGTGTCAAAACTGCATAGAAAAAATAAACAAACAGAGAACGACGGCGTTGGACTGAAGCTGTAGTCAGAGGCCAGAACCTCACACATCCAATTTCATGTCTCAGCTGGCTTTATTGATTCCTTCTGCTGTTCTGAATTCAATTACAGGTGTATCTCAGTAAATCAGAGCATCACTGGAAAGTTAATTCATTTCAATGATCCAGTTTAGAAGAAATGAAGCTCAGATATATGGATCCTGTTCACTCAGAGTGATGTATTTGAAGTGCTCTGGTGATTATGGCTTCCAGCTAACACGAAAAACTCACCTTCTGACAAAACCAACATTGCATAAAATCAACAGAAATGTATTTTTTAAAGGGACAGTATTATGTGTTTCCCAAATACCATTTTATAGCACAATTAAGTAGCTATGTTACCTGCAGTTCTTATAAAAATGCTATACATATCAAATTTGACATCGTAATTTAATGCATTGAAATTGGTTCTCTGTCTCTTTAAACCTCCTGCTGTTTCTGAAACTTCGCCTCCAGGAAGTCGTCACAACATGGCTCCTCTTTTAACCCTTTAACAATGTTTTTACCAGCGTTGCACTGAGAAGTAGCTCCTGTAATAAGAGCAGCAGATACACAGTCCCACCAGCTGTTTGCTAATTGCTGCTGGCTAGTCTGAAGGAGCTGAGCTGGGAACGGCTGCTCTGTGAGGCAGAAACTCAGAAGCTTGTAAACTGTGACTTGGAGGAGGAGCTGTATCTCGAAACCGAAGCATGGCAACCATTTAATCTGAATGGTTGCCATGGAGATTAAATGATTTTTTTTTTCAAATATGCATGAAAGAATCAAGGAAACACTCCAGGTATTTTTCTTTTGATGAGGGAATAACATTATGTGTAGCTCAGACCTGTTGATTCTACATAATACTGCCCCTTTAATTTAGAAATCTTAGCTGAATGGCACAGTATATGTACTCAGTACTCAGTTGGGGCTCCTTTTGCTTGAATTACTGCATTAATCCAGGATAGCATGGAGGAAATCGTGGTTCTACTGTGTAATGGAAGCTGTGCGATCTGCCTGCAGCTCGTCTACGCTGTTGGCTCTGGTGTCTTTCATATGGACTCTCATTGGTATTTCTGGCCAATCATAGATCCAGGGTTTGGTACCTTCAGCAGTGGGTCTGTACCAAGTCCTGCTGGAAAATGAAATCAGTTTGACAGCAGAAGGAAGCGTAAAGCGACATAAATCTTCCTGCATTGGCTTTGGACTTGATAAAACTACAGACTCTCTGCTTCGACTCTGTTTGGAAATTGATTTTCAGGAGAAATACAAACTTTGCTTTGATTTGTTTCTCGTTCACGAGTCGCTTGATGTCTTGCTAATCTCCTCCAAACTCTTGAATGGGCTTTGCTTTATAATCTGCATAAGGGCACATTACTTTTTTTCTTCCAGTTTTTCCTTCCACCTAACTCTCCATTAATGTTTTTGGTTACAGCTAGCTTCTTAAGTAACATTCTGTTGGCTTATCCTCTTTGTAGAAAGTGTCTGCTGGTTAAAACATAATATTTCTATAAAATAAATGTATTCGAATAAAAACGTTCAGAAAAGGAATTTGATTTTTCCTAAAGTTACTGAAAGAAATGCTCAAAATATATAGTTTAAATTGATTTTAAATTGATTTAGTGGAAGAATAATAATGAAAATCTGATGATATTCTAATTTATTGAGACGCACCTGTCTGCACAGCATGTTTTATAGCGTGTGTGTGTGTGTGTGTGTGTGTGTGTGTGTGTGCGTGTGCGTGTGTGTGTGTGTGTGTGTGTGTGTGTGTGTGTGTGTGTGTGCGTGTGTGTGTGTGTTGCAGTGGACCCTCAGTTCTACGTCACCGTGACCATCTCCTCGCTGCTCATCCTGACAGCCGTCATCATCACAGCCAAACTCTGGTAAGGAGCTGAACCTTCTCCGTTAAGCCGCTCTGCGTGTGAATACATGAATATGAAGTGATGGACCCTCATTGTGTGAGCTGGACACCTGTCCCACAGGAGGACGGGCTTAACGCGTCCTGGACGTGAAGTTTAATCACGTCAGAGTTAACTTTCTGTTGCTTGATGCAAACATTGAGAGGAAATTACTTGGTTATTGAGATTCCTGGTGTGAACATTTTATTTTAGATCTTCTTATCATGATGTCAGTTTCCATTCAGGATGTATTGAGGTCAGTTGTGGAGTTGCTTAGTTCCTAAACTGGAGATTAGGAGGCCTCTGAGGAGTTCGAAGATAAACTTTCAGCGTTACGAAATGAATAAAACATTACTCTGCTGCTTAAAAGGGAAATTTCTTTTTGTAAAGCTTTTATCTGGCTAATTGCAGGAATAATTGCACTTCATTAATATATTCGAAAATGTCTTAAATGGACTAATTTGGCTTAGATGAACTAGTTTTGAGTGGAGGAAGTGGAGATGGTTTAGTTTTCAATTATAATAGTTTTTTTTATATAAGACATTCAGCAGATCAGACTAGAGACAATGGAAGATAAAAGCTCCTTCACTGCAAAAACACAAAATATTACCAAGTACTTTTAGACTAGTTTCTCATGCAAATATTAGTACTCATGACATAAGGCATATAGATCACCTTCAGCAAGATTAGGAACTTGTTTTAAGTCAATATTTCATCAATATTAATATTGATGAAAAACAGTAACAGATTATTTCACTTATTACATGGGAAAATATCTTCTTACAAGTGAAATAATCTGCCAATTGAACTAATACTTTTTCATCAATATTCAGGAATAAGCTCCTATTTCATGCTAAAAAGTTACTTATAATTTAGTTTTGTCTTATTTCAAGTGTAGTGAGATATTTGCACTAGAAAAAGACTTGGTAACATTTTGTGTTTTTATAGTGCAGCAAAGGCATTCAAGCTTTTTAAATGTTACAAAACACAAACTTCAGTGAGTTTTTCTGGGATGAAATGAGATAGACCAACACAAATGAGAAACAGAATCTAAAATACGTTAAAGTGCATTTATTTTCAGCTTCTTTTACTCTGACACCCCTAAATAAAACCCAGTGCTACTCAACAGAGTCCAGCTGATATTTAGTCCAGTGAAGGAAACTTTAGTGAAAACAGAGTCAGCAGATCTGAATAAAATGAAATAACATGTCAACATTAGTTTTGTTTTTCTTGGAAGCTTTTGTTGAAGAAGAAGCAGAAAAAGTCCAATTTGCTGTTTTGTTCAAACCACAGCAGAAAGTGTTGAACTTTCTGACCTTTGACCCATAGATGCTTTTATTAGCAGTTTTACTGCATTGTTGTTTATACTTTTGCTACAGTAATATTATTTTGAACTGTTGCTTCTCTTACTTGAGGAAAATTTGGGGATATCCTAAAAAAATACAAATAACTTTAATGAAGAAAGAACAAATATATTTTAATCTAAAATCTATGTTACAGAGACACCCACAGAACTCTTGTTTTTACACCAGCTTTGTTTTTCTAATGTTTTTTACACAGTGGAGACACAATAAACACTATATAATGTCACTGGAAGTACATTACCCTGTTCCGATGTCCACATTACATTCTGCTAGTATTAATTTTAAGTTTAATATTGAAAAAATATTTAATATTGAAACTTGTTTCTCCTTCCTCTCCATGTTTTGTATTAATTTATAATCATTTTTCTTTTATTTTAGTCCAGAATTTGCACATATCTTTATATTTGTCTGATTGATGCCATTTTAACATATTGAATCAGATTTTATTATTAGTCACTGAGTAATTGAGTAAACTTTTGACCAAATACATTTTTACTCTTTTGTAATTGATTTGGAAAGCTACTTTTTACTTTTACTTGAGTGAAGGTATGCTGACGTATTGCTGCTCTTACTTGAGTATAATTTTCGGCTACTCATCACTATGGTGAAGCATAGCAGGGGCAGCATCATGCTGTGGGGATGTTTTTCTTCAGCAGAGACAGTCAGAGTTGGTAGGAAGTTTTATGGAGCTAAATTTAATAAATCAAGTATGATGTTTTTAGCCCGTGAAGCTGTTGGTGCGTTTATGTGTGCTGAACTGCTGCAGAGTTATCAAATAAATTTGTTATTCAGTACATTTCTGACTTTGTTTAAAAAAAGAAATGTTTTATAGAGGCAGTATTATGTGTTTTCCAGGCACTTAAGGTAATTTATAGCACAATAAAGTAACTATGTCAGCTTCAGTTGTTAAAAATGCTATATTTATCAAATTTAAAAGACATTTTTCTTTGTAATTTAACACCTTGAAATTGGGCCTCTGTCTCTTTAAAAACTTCTACTCTTCAGGAAGTCATCATGTCGCTCCTCCATTCAACCCTTAGCAACATCTTCACCAGCGTTGCACTGAGAAGTAGCTGCTGTAATGGGGTCAGTAGATGCTCAGGTGTTTGCTAATTGCTGCTGGCTAGTCTGTAGGAGCTGAGTGAGCGTAGGCGGCTCTGTGAGGTGGAAGCTGTGAAACTGAAGCTTAGAGGAGGAGCTGCGCTTCGAAGGCGGGGCTAGGTCTACTCAGGCGTTTCACACAGCTGAATGGTTGTCATGGAGATTAAAGGATTTCTCAAACATGCGTGAAAGAATCAAGGCAAATCTCCAGGTGTGTTGTTGATGAGGGAATAACATTATAACATGACGTAAAGCTGAAAAAACTTTGATTTTATGTAATATTTCTCCTTTCAGTCAACTCAGCTCTGCTTTCCTGTATCGGATCGTCACCGACTGATACTAAACCTCAGGTATCGGTATCGGAGGCGAAAACAGTGGAGTGGTGCATCCCTTGTTAACAGTGAAAAACTTTTAAGGGTAGGAATACTTGTTGATGTTCCTCAGTGACGGTGGTGGCAGCATGGGGATCCGAACGGCAGACGGCTGACGGCCCCACGCTGGAGCGCCTGGTTTGTGTATCGTTATGGTTACGATATGGTTCTGTGTGATACCCCACCAACTCCCCCTCTCAACTGAAAGCTGAGTAATTGCCTACTAATGACTTTATTAACAACACTTGTGCTCCTCAAAGTCACAGTTGGCACAGATGTGTCATTTAGAGCCATTAGTGTTGCATTGATTAAACATTTGCCGCCTTCATTAGGACGCGGAGAGCCGCTCCGATTGGCTGGCTCGCCGGCTTGGACGTTAGCATGGCCTCCACTTAGGCTGAGTGTTGCTGAAAAGCAGCCCATCTGCCGCTGAGCCTCTCAGCACATGCAGACATGGTGGTAAACATGCGGTATGCGTTGCCTTCTCATGGCGGGGAAGGTGCGGCTTGGCCATTATCTGGAAATGGGGAGTCGTCTGTGTGATGTAGTGAGGCACTCACACGCTTTGCTGATCAAACCAATAAGATGCCGGTTTATATGACCGCTGGGACCCGCTCGCTTCCCTCCCCTCGCACTTCCACTCTCTTCCTCCTCACTTTATTACTCTTATCTGTGAATCTTACCCCAAAGTCTATTATAACCTAATTTTACATTTCTTTCTCTAGTAATGAGCTTCTTCCTCCCTCGTCTTAATCTTAGTCTTCCTCTCTCTTTTCTTTTTCGGGTTTTTCCCCCTCTTTCACATACCTGCGTTGCCTCTTTTGCACAGTTGGCTCTCTTATCTCCCCTCACCGGTTTCTCAGTTCTCCCAGAAACACCAGTCTGGCTGAAGATTCACAGATAATCCTCCGTATTGCCGGGGGCTGATACATGATTTGTCTTTTCTCTTTTGTATTGTTATTTTTTTCTCCCTCCGTGTTCCTGAGACAGGCTTTGCTGTTGTTCTGATAACTTACTTCCACTTACGAGCTCCCACCGCGCAGTCGTGCCGCGCCGGTGGATGTAGGAGAAAAAGGCAGCAGAGGAACGGCAGCAGAGCGCTCTCCATAGACTGGCTCTTGCTTCAGTGTCATAAATGTGTAAATAACACCATGTGTTCGATGGAGAGAAGAGGGGAGGGTGCAGATGGACCCAAATGATAGCCTATAGTGGAAATTGGCTATCGTCCAGTTCATTACGATTATAGAGGAACGGCATATGCGCTCAGTGATTTTTTTATTTATTTTTTTTCCTTTCTTTTTTCCCCCAGTGCTAAAATTGCCGGTGTGGGCAGAGCTGCGAGGCGAGGTGCTGTGGTGTCAGCCAGGAGTGGACAGGTGCTGCTGTGGAGAGATGAGGCTTCTGGAGGCTTTTACGGCTCTCAGAGCAGCTTTGCTGTACCTCAGTGGGTTGTTAGTGGCACCCTGCTGTGTTTACAGAACCATCTAAAAAGTATTCACACCCCTGGAAGCGTTTTTTTAACTTAAACTTTAGTGTTTTCATTGGGATTTTACTATAAATTGGCCCCGGTTTCCAGTGATCAGCCGATAATTACATGTGAAGTGGATCTTGTCTAAAAATCAACCGCTGTCCTCTTTTACCAAGATCATATCCACACATTTCCAGTCAACTATGGTAGGAGTGCAACGATTCCAGTTTTCTCCCAGAGGATCGCTGTTCCTCTGGGAGACGCATTGAGCAGCGAGTACATGAGAGTGATTAACAGCACTAAGACCCGCCTCCTGGATCCGATTGGTTGTTTTTGGTGCATTTCTTCAGAAGGAAATAGCAGCTCAGGGATCGATCTTTTCACAGATTGTCTCATAACAAACTGTCACTGTTTTCACAAATATTTACAAATATTTTCTATTAAAGTTTCACACTGCAGCTTTAATGTTAAGTAATCGCATGATTTATGAAAGCACATGCATTAGATTTTATTTGGAGCGTCGGGGTAGAAGGGGTTGAATGCGGTGAAAGTTCAGTGAGAACCTGGAATGCGACGCTCGTTTCCATGGGGAATGAATCCGTCTGCGCGCTGTTCTTGTCGCTGAAGTAAATTGCACGACACCTCAGTGATACGTCAGTTCGCTTCTTCACCTTGTTGCACACTTCTCACCTCACCCCGCTGACCCCCTCCTCCTCTTCCTCCTCCTCCTCGCAGCACTGACAGTGTTTTAATGAGTTCGATGTTTTTCTCCTTCACAGAGGCAGGGTAATGTGCTCGCTGATGCTAAGCGACTCGATGCTCTCTGACTTTGTCACCTCTCTTTCTTTCTTTCTCTCCTTCTTTCTCGTGATCTGCTCACATTTTTCTTTGTTTCACTCCACCTCCTCTTCTTCTTCTGCTTTCTCTCCCAGTTACGATCGCAGCTGTTCCCAGCATCCGCCCCCGCTTTCCCGTGGCGTGGCCCCCCCCCTGTCCCTCGCGCTCCCCCGTTCCCTTGCTTCGGAGGACAGCAGGCAGACGCTGCACAGCACCACCTCCTCCTTCACCGACAGGGAGAGGTAATGAGTCGCCCCGGCGGCCCCGCACAGCCACGCCGTTTGAGCGGCCAAGCCCGTGACTCCGCCGTGCGTCCGGGTTTAAGTTTGCGAGCGCTTGCATGCAGCATAATTGGGCAGTACAGCGCTATTCTCTGTAGGACAACAAGGCCTGGAGTGTTGGTGCTGCTGTTAGATGTATCAGTGTTTCAAACTCCCCCCTCCCCAGATGAGTCATCTGGCGCCTGTGAGAGAGGCGCCGAGCCACCTTCCATGAAATGATGCTTTTGTTCAAGGGTATTTTAAGTTAATCTCAATCAGGATAATTATAGAGCCACTCTCTAGTGCTGCTTCTTGCTTCCTCCACCCATTGGCTTTCCCTCCGTCTCCTCCGTCTCTCAGCGGTCCCCAGTGATGCAGCTCTCCATCCACACCAGCTTCAGGCCTTTACGCCTCCTTCCTCTTCCTCCTCACTCTTCATCTTCAAACTTTTAATTCATTTATTTTTGCAAGATACAAACACACAAACGTTTATCATCAATTTTACATCTTATCTATACAATCCTCCGTTTTAAACATTAGGACAATATGGCTGACAAATATATCTCAACAGTCGCGTTTCATATTGGTCAATAATATCAGTAATTATTTATTAGTCTTTCGTTTTAAATGTCTGAAACTGGTGTTTTTTATTTTTAAGTAGCTCCTTAAACTGCTGCTGCGCCAGTTACTCAACAAGTCGTTGCTAGGTAACCACAAGTTACCCAGCAGGTTGTTGCTAGGTAACCAGAGAATGAATCAGTTGGTTGATGCCTCTAACCTTCCTTATTTGGAGAGGTTGAGCAGCTAGCGTCTTTCCTCTGCCTGCATCTCCCAGAATGCTGTGCGGTTCTGACTCTGAGTTCAGTGAAAGTGTTGAGTATTCCATCAGACATATTTTCTATTGATATTGATCATTGTCTGTCGAGATTTATGTTATTGATTTATTTATATTCACACTGTCTAGTTCTGGATCTGCTACAAATCTTCTTGAAACTACAGAAATACATTTTCCTCAAATAGGGCTGAAACGATTAATCAGATTAATCGATTATTGAAATAATCGTCAACTAATTTAGTAATTGATTAATTGTTAACTGGAGTATTCATTACAAAAAGGCAATTTGCTGAAAATGTTCAGAGCAATAATAAAACCAAAACTGTACAACAACTATATACATTTGGTATTTAAGATTGAAAATCTTTGTAAATAAACTCCTGATGAACTTTTAGCTTCGCCTGATTCAAATTCTGTGAATCTCAAAATCTCCTTTAAAGCAACTTTTGCTAGGCAATTATCAATCAATTAATGCAATGATTAATCAATTAATCTACAAATTGTCAAGCGTACACTAAAGAAATGCTATATTATTGCATTTTAGGCAGTGAAACATTTATTTTCTTATTTAAAACTAAGTGGTAAATGAGAAATCTGCAAAATGTGGCAATTTTTTTTTTATCTGATTAATCAATTAATCGTCTGAATAATTGATTACTAAAAATAATCGTTAGTTGCAAATAAACCTGAACCCCATGAAGAAAAGCTAATGTGAAGTAACTGTACCAATGATGACAATGAAACTAACATTATTAAGCAAAATAAATAAATACATGTCGTTATTTGCCTCCATCTGAAGCTGTGTTTTCCATAATGTGTTCCCTTCCTCTTCTTGCCTTGTCTCTTGCTGTGTCAGGATTCCAGTTGTGAACCTGTGACTGTTTTCTGTCCATATGATAAACATTTCTGCTGGACCAGGACCGGGGGACAAACCCGCAGCTGTTTTATTTTCCTCTCCGACTGTGAAAGAAATTCAGGGAACCCAGGTATCCAGCCATCGCGAAATCTCCCCGGCTTCCCTGAGGTCTGAGAAGAATCCGACTCGCTCCCTTCCTCCTGCTCGGTGTGAAAATTTCTCTTGGTGTGCATCACTGTGTCCCTGTTTTTCCACTGTTTGTACGGCCCCCCGAGCGCCGCCGAGCTACCCGGCGGCTCTGCGCCTCCGCCTGGCGTGACTAATTCACCAACAAGCAGTTTAACAGCCATGCAGCATCCTGTTACCCCGCCCCCCTCTGAGACGGCCCTACCTGTGCTTCCTCAGCTGCTCGCTATCAACGCCAATCCAGCAGACTCCTCTTGTCGTTTCCAGTCCTCTTCAGCAGTAAATGGTAAAAAATAAAAAAGGCCGTTCTCAGCGTCTCCAGGAGTATTTCACAAAGCCGTTTGGCGAGGCTGTAGCCAACAGGCAATGTGTTTACCATGTCACGCTCCAAAAACTGATGTTTATTCCCCCGCTTTGGGTGCCTGAAATGCAAATAGTGGGGGATCCTCTTCTCTGCAGATGTAGCCGAGCGTTTTGCTGTTGGGTGTTTTTTCTTTATTTTCCTCATGATTTGTTCTCTTAATTATCTGGCTGAAGTTCGCCCCTTTGTCAAGCCTTCCTGCTGGACTGTTGTAAATGTGTTATTAAACAACGCACTTCCAGTGGCGGAGATAAGATATTCAGAACATGAATGGACATCTATTTTCCCTCCCCTCCTGAGGTTGGACGGTGCCTAACAAAGGACAGATTTATGTTTTAATGCAAACGAGTGGGCGAACTGCAGCTGGGGATCTTCAGACTAATCTTGGTGTTTGGTTTTCTTCCCTTTCTTTCCTTGTTCCTGGGAGCTTTTTATCTCAATCTGGACAGCAAAACCTCCGTCATCAGCCATTTTGAGGAAAATAGCACAAACAGAAAAGAAGGATCACCAATGAATCTGCATGTAAACACTAAGAAAACGTGAAAATTGTTTATTGGAGAGCTTCCAAAGACAGATTTCAGTTTCTGTTAAAGGGGACCTATTATGCAAAATTCAAATTTTTTATACTTCCATCTGCGTCTCTGGTGCTTCTACAAAAAAAGCCCAAACACACACAAAAAAACACACACCCAGATGATTTCTGGCAACAAGTTAATGTTTTTTGGTGTCTAGAAAATGAGCTATTTTGAAAACAGCAGGCACAGCATGTTACCTAGCAACCCCAGCCAAGCCCAGACCCGTTACCTAGCAACCCAAGTGGAGTTCCAACACCTTTTGTCAGCTGATTTTACTACTACTACTGGAAAAGACAAGTGCTTTGTTGTTGACTTACCATCCAGAAACCACTTGCTACATTCTCGTTGACTGGGCTGGAGGCTCCACTTATGCTTTTCAAAGATGTGTAACCTGTTTTCAGCCATTTTCACCTGGGGGGCGTGACAAGGAGCAGCTCATTTGTATTTAAAGTGACAGGAGCCCCTAAATTAAACATCTCAAGGCAGAACTGAGCAGACTAAAATCTCTATCTAAAAATGGCTAAAAATGTAATGAACATGTTTTGTATCGTCCATAAACCAACCCCAACCTGCTCAAGGAAGCATAATAGGTCACCTTTAACCTTTCTTAAGCAGCTCTGACGTGAATCCAGTCAAACCATTTCCTACAGATGTCGTACTGGTGGTTTCATGGTAGCTCGTGCAACACTTCAGATATCCAGTATTGTGGTCGTTCGTAGCATTCCCGTATGAATTTGGTCTTTCTGTTCCATGTAACTTGAATAAAGACTCAACACTGGCATTTTAGCTCCGAGTCTGTTTATTTCTGTGCATGCTGAACGAATTCCCCAGGGAGCTGCACAATCCTCCATGCTTTATGGGGGGGATAAAGCTTACATTGTGCATTTTAATAGATACACGTGTATCCTAATCTGTCTCTCTGAAGTGCGAGCATTTAGTCCGGCGCTTTGCATCGATTTTTTAAACCTTTAGTCTCGGCATTAAAAAGTCCTGCATGTGCCAATCATGTTTGCAGCCACTGAAAGGGAGAGGAGAATAATGCGACTCCTTATCTCCTCACCTCATATGGATTCCTCTCGCTTTAGCAAGATTAACAGGGTGCTAAGCAGGAATTTCCTCTGTGTATAGTTTTTCAAACTAATGTCAATAAAATCAGGGCGGGAACAGGAAGAGGAATGCCATCGACTGTTCTGAGATTCTCCACCAGTCCTGCTGGTGCAGCTAGTCTTTACATCTCCTCAGGGCAATTCACTGATCAATCGGCAAAATAATGGATCGCCCGGCTTCCTCTGGGGAGATTTAATGCATAAAGTATTCACCCCCCAGGAACGTCTCACGATTACAGACTTAAGAGCATTTTCTTCATCGGTTTTTATGAGACAGACCAACGCAGTGGAGAGCACAGTGATGGCAGCATCATGCTGTGAGGATGAGAAATAATAAAAACATTTGCACAAAATGTCATGCATGACAACACACTGCAGGATGTTGGAAACCAGAAGGGGCTGAAATGATTAATCAAATTAATCACGATTAATCGATCACTGAAATAATTGTCAACTAATTATTAATAGATTAATCGTTAACTTGAGGAAACAGACTGGAAAACCAGCACACTCACAGCTGTTTTAAGCCAAAACTGTACAAAAATATACACATTTCTGCATTTAAAATAAAAAACAACCTTTGTCTGTAGATATGTTCAACTCAAAACTCAAGTGTCATTAATTTAGCTTCACCCGGTTCAAATTTGGTTAAAAAAATCTCATATTAGACACCATTTGCTATTCAATTATTAATTGGTTAATCCAAAAAATACTCAACAGATCAGCTCTACGCCGTCCTGTAAGTCATGAAGAAATAGATTAACCTTTCCCATTCAAGGCAAAAAATACATATATTTTTCTATTAAAAAAAAAATCATCAAATAATTTGCATTTCTAATATTTCTAATATTCTATTATTATGCTTAAGTGAAAAATCTGTTGAATGTGCCATTTTTTTATGTTATTAAATGTTTAATCGTTAGACAAATAAATCGATAACTAAAATAATTGTTAGTTGCAGCCATTTATGTTTTAGTCTCATGAATAATTAATCAGGAACCAGTAATATGAAGCAAAAAAGACAAAAAAATCTTTATTTTCTCGTTTTAAAGTCGCTTCTATGGGAATCTATTCTGACTTACTGTGTACTGACTGTAGGGGGCGCTGTTTCTTCTGTACACGCAAGAATAAAAATTAATGCCTAAAAGTTTGTTTTTTATTTAATTACCTGTCAATAAAACAATTACTCTAATTTAATGTGCTGAAGATGGAAGAATACAATTATTTCTTCTTAAATACGAACTGAAAAAAGAATCAAAAATATTTTAATTCTGGTTTCTCTTTTTTTCACCAAAAAGTTGAAACACTTGTGTTTTAATTCAACGTTTTTTTTTACTTAAAAATGTGCAGTTTTCTTTCTCTCTGTTGTGAAATAAAACCAAATTTCAAATTTCTGCTGTTTTTGATCACAAAGAGAAACTTTTTTTTTCTTTTTTTGAAATTAAACTACTTTCCCCCCTGACTGGTTTCTGGTGGGAACATCCAATTACCAAAACTCAGACACAGAGAGAGAGAGAGAGAGACTAATCTTCCTGCAGGAAAGTCTGTTAGATCAAAGCATGTCTATGTGTTAGAGTGACCTAGTTAAAGTCTAAACTTTAATCCAACTAAGAATCTGTGGTAAGACTTCTAAACTGATGTTCACTGAGCTCCAGGAATCAATGTTTTTATCTTTAGATACAAACTTTAGTATTGATCCACAGAGGGCGAAAAACGTCACACCTTTTTGGTTTTTACATGCAAAAATAATTCAGTCGCTTCATAACTTCTATCATAAAATTCTGATGAAATATTTTGAGATTTTTGGTCACAGTGTGAAGAAATTCAGCCTCAATGTGTGACCAGGACGAGCGCGGAGGTCAGACCCGACTCTCCAGCACCCTCTCTCTCTCAGACACCTCTAGAGGTGTACAGCTGCTAAAAGTCACAGCTCCACTGTTGTGAAAAAGAAAAAAAATGAAGCTCGACACACCGACTGAAATTAACACGTCTATTTATAGAGGTGAGGCAGGATGACGGAGGGAAGGGGGAATTTAGGAAGATGGCGGGTTAAATGGAACAGGATAATTTCCCCGTCTGGTTTCTTGTCACCGCTGGTCAGCCATTTGCCATCATTAACGTCACGCAGGATGAAGGGAGGACGATGCGAGGAGGAGACGGCGGCGGTGGCGGCATGATGGAGGCAATCTGATTGTGATGGAGGTACAAAGAAGAGTGGCAGCAACTCAGACAGAAACAGAGGCTGTGGGCCAGACATACCGCTATAAAATCCGAATGTGCTTGCCGTACACTGCCGGTGCACAGGGGAAGCCTCGACTCTATAACACTTTAATCCCGTTGGGGACACGCCCTAATTAACGACTTGACCTCTTAATGGGGAGCCCCCCTTCTGCGAGTTAACATTTAGTAGCTCGGCCTCCAGAGGGGCACATTTAATAAAAGAAGTGACATTAATAAGGCAGCCGAGATGAATAGTGAGCTTTTTTATTTCCCGACAATTTATATTCTGATTCTTATACAAGTTTTCAACCCAGCAGAGAGAAAGAAAGAAAACGAATCAACTGAAAATTAATCTGAACCAAACGACACAGACAAACGTACACCTTTAAACACACGGATCCTGTTTCCGGTCAAAGGCATCTGATTCCTACCGCAGACGGTTCTGTCCTCGTGTGTTACGAGTGCTTTTATTTACACCGACAGTCTGTGCAGGAGCGGACCACCCGCCCGCTTCGTTCGCCCCGCAGGCGTTTCATTTGTTGACAACAATTTCCAGTGAAGGTGTGTGGCTGCTCTCCAGGAAGAATGGCTCGCATCGTTTTTAGGTATGTGTCCGTCCGTCCGTCCATCAACGTGCCAACGAGCCGTAAATTAGCGAGTGTCCATCAGTGCGGCCGTCCTCCCATCCTAATCCCTCCGCCTCAGTTGGACTTGGACCAGATCTTTCCGCTCCCACGCAGCCTGTTTGGGACACAGCCAATTAAAACAAAACTCACCAAGTAGATGCTTAGTTTCAGGTTTATTTATATAATTCTGCTTTTAAAGAGGGGAAAAAAAGCAGCAGAACTGATGCAACCTGGATGCAAAGATGCTAAAATATTCCACATCAATATTCAATCTGCTTTAAGGCTGCAGTGTGTCACTTTTATAAAAAACATTTTTTTTTTTTTTTACATTTGTTGAAAATGCCACCATGTTGTGACAATATGAGACAAATAATCCATGAAAAACCTGAGCTCATCTGTGTTCTCCCAGTGGGAGCTAGAAACAACCAATCAGAGCGAGGAGGCGGGTCTTAGCGCTGTCAATCACAATCTCATGTGGTGCTACAGCTAGGATAGCCTGTTGTAAACACTCAGTTTAGTTAGCTTAGCTACCAATAACTGTTTTAATGTAACAGAGAGTTGTTTGTGCATCATTAGCACATTTAGCAGCACATACTGAGGGTTGATTGGCAGCCCTAAGACCCGCCTTCTGGCTCTGATTGGTGCGTTTATTCAGACAGCAGTAGCAGCTCAGGAAGGACGTGGAGGAGATCCATCAATTCTGTCACAACATGGTGATAGTTTCAATAAATATGTAAAATAACGTAATTTTTTATTTTTTTGTAAAAGTTGCGTACTGCAGCTTTAAGGGGAATAAATCCACAGAACTGATGCAGCCTGGATGCAAAGATGTTAAAATATTTCACATCAATATTCAGTCTCCTTTAAAGCTGCAGTTCTTTACATACCTGTTGGAACTGACAGTATGAGACAGATAATCTAACTTCTCTTAGTGGGAGCTAGAAACAACCAATCAGAGCGAGGAGGGGGGCCTTAGCGCCGTCAATCACAAACTTATGTGGCGCTGCAGCTAGCATAGCCTGTTGTAAATGCTCAGTCAAGTCAGCATAGCCACCAATGACTGTAGATAAACGTTTTTTTGTGTAAAGGTGAGTAGTTTGTCCATCATTAACACATTTAGCAGTGTATACATGAGGTTGATTGACAGCCCTAGGACCCACCTCCTCACTCTGATTGGTGCGTTTATTCAGACAGTGTTAGTAGCTCAGGGAAGAGATTGGAAATTGATCTTTTCACAGATTATTTGTCTCATAAACCGTCACAAGATGGTTTTAACTGAAATGTAAAAACATATTTTTATAAAAGTTACACATTGCAGCTTTAACTGGAGTGGATCTGAGAGGATTAATACAAAACCTGGCTAGTAAAATGTCTAATTATAACCACTGAATTATGGATTTACTTAAAAAAAGAAGGTTTAAAAGTTATTTAAATTTGAAGATTGAGGTTAAGCTATCATTAATTTGGATGTGGCTCTCCATTTGAATGAAGCTCAGAAGATGGAAATCACAGGGAGGGCTCTGGTGTTTCGCCCAAATGTTAGCAGCCGGCTTTTTGTTCGACAGGCAAACATAAACAACTGCTGATCACCAGAGGGAGAAACGGCTCTTTGTGTATCCAGTGACATTTTACAATTCGGGACCGATGTGAAATTAGCCGTCGGTAATACAGGAGAGCAGGAGAACGGGGTTATACTGGAACTGCAGACACACTGGTGAGTATCTGACAACAAAGTAGTTCATGCACACTTTAGTCACCAGCTCTATTTTTACTGCTTTAAAAAAAAAAAAAAACAGAAATGGATTCTTCTGGGGATTTGCTTTTCTAAACTGTTCGCTTTAATTTAGTGCTTGGTTTGATCGTCATTGTTGTTCTGTGCTTTAAGCCTGGCAAAAGAAGAGACGTATTAAAGTAAAAACAAAAGAACAGACGGATAAATCTCAATAAAGAGATATTTAATGAAATAAAATAAACACCACATGCTGCTTTTTGTTCCAGTTTTCTGAACAGTAACAATAAAGAGAGTGAGACTTGATTGAAAAGACAGAACTGAGTTTGTTCTGAATAAAACATCATCGCTCTGCAAGGCCGCTCATGTTCAATTTGTGAAGCCTTGGGAGAAAAGATGCACTTTAAATCTAAAACAACTCAGATGTTTTAGTTATTAGACTGCCAGTCAAAGTAAAGTAAGGAGCCTGACGTCGGAGCGCTCACCCTTTGACCTTTGAAGCCTTCTTGCCCGGCTGTCGTGGTTCCTGAGAGGAGGCGGGGTCCCGAGGCTCGGCTGGCTGATCTGCGTCCTGATTGGACGCTGCTCCGGCGGGGGCAGGGCCTGAGGACGGAGACGCAGCGCTGGCCTTTAACGTCTTTTGTAGGTTTGACACCTGATGGGAAAAGAAAACAAGAATCCGTTACATCAGCAGCGATTCGGTTTGAGAAAATTTATTCTGTGGAGCGAGGGTGTCCAAAGTGTGGCCCGGGGGCCATTTGTGGC